AAAACAAATTCAACACAATATTTCTAAGCAGAGTAAGAAAAAAAAACAGCAAATTTTTTTCTCCCTTGTGTCTCCGACATCTAAAAATAAATAATGTCAGACATTTAAATTAAAATTTGAACTCAAACGCACTTATTCAAATTTAGTTCAATGTTAAATTTAAATTCGGAACGATCACTCAAGGCTTTACAAGATGCTAAATAAGTTCTGGAGAAGAAAAATCATAGGATGCTGGGGAAAGAGCACACATTCCTTTTCCGGAGGATTTTCTTATCTTTGGCATCACGTGATTCCATTTCTGGCTCCGTGCCAAGTAGCTGTTTTTTTAGATTTATTTGGGTTTCCCCCCTGATGCTTCAAAAGAGGGGTAGAAATCCGACATAAGAAAAGAGAGTGCATTAGGAAAACTTGCTGCATCATTTCGTTGAATGAAGATGATACAATCTATTAATGGTTTTAGAGATTATTCCTACAAAAAAAAAATTTTTTTTGCTTCAAATGTGTCTAGTTTTTATCTCTTTCTTAAATACTTACTATGAGTACATAAGATAATTGATGATTAATTAGATATTCTATTAATTCGATAATATTAATTAGATATTCCGAAGAATTAAGATGAAATACTTAGGAATTAAGAATTTGCTAAGCTTTATGTGAATTAAGATGATTATCATAAAATTATAAGATACATGAGAATTAAGATAAACTGCTTAAGATACATCGTTATAGAATTAGTATGAAGATATATTAGAATTAAGATAAAAGTATATGAATAGTTTTACAGTTAATAGTTAAATAGTTTTTACAACTCACTAAAAAACAAAATATATTGCATTATCAACTTATTAGACTCAAAGGTGTGCTTGAAAAAAACATAAATGAATGCTCATTTAAAATCCCAGAGGTTTTCATAGCTTAAATACTGAGAACCAAAAATATTTTTAATTCTTAGAATTGAACGATTGATTTTCTTAGAAAATCAATCATTCTGTATTAGATTAATTAAATATGTATTAAAAATTTACTCAAAGTGTAAATCATTAATATATAATTATAGGAAATTAATGATTTCTAGAGTACAATAATCGATCATTTTGTAACAACTTACTTAAATAGTTCTAAATAAGCATCTAATAAAATCTAATAATGATTATACATAAAATGAAGAGATCTGCCCATATGGGATTAAGGGTTCAATATTTATCTTAAACATAAGCAACTATAATAACAATTATGCATGTAGCTAAGAGAATAGACAAACAGAGGACAAACACAAATATCAGATTCCAGACACAAAATTATCAATCAAGAAATAATTCTGTGAGTTGGCACAGATAATGGCACTTTTAATTGTATTAAAAAAAGCTGCCACCAACAACTATTTTTATTTTTTTGCTCATTACATTGTGTTCGGAATTTTATTTCAAATGTAATGCTCATTTTAAACATATATCATCGTAATATTAATTTCGCATTTAGTTAAGAGGTTAAGAGAATAAACAAACTGTTTGAAATTATTTAGTAAAATAGATATAACTTTATTAACTTATGAGTAGTTAATTCTAAGAAAACTCTTATAATTAAGGTTAAAAAGTTGAGAAAATAAATTGTAACATACACAATTGTCTTTCCAGTTCGACAGGATAAGACAAAAACGTTAAAAATTAAGATTAAAAATCATAAAACTATTAATAATTAGCAAATTAATCGATTTATTATTTTAACAGTTTTTAAGCTTAAAAAGAGTTTTCCAATTTTTGAAAAATGCTTTAACACAAAAATTGCAGAAAAAACTATGATTAAGAAAAATAAGTAATTTATATTTAAATTATTGCAAGTTTTTTAATAAAAAAACAGTCGCTTCGATCAGCTCGCTTTAATAAAAGTTTAACAATTATTAATAAGCAATTAAATAATAATATAAATGAAAATAAACACTACTTAAAGACGTAGAGCATCTTAATGCCAATCTATCAGAAACTTTTTGATTCATTAGAAATTAAGGAGTTTGATATTTTAAATCTCTCTGTATTTCAGTGTTTTAAATTATAATTTAAACATTAAATTGGCTTAACTATTTGTCCTAAACTTTTATTATTAGTTTTTTACAGAATGTTCTCGAGCAAGATATTGTTTTTCCTTTTCCCACCTATTATAATAGAATATAAAATGTAGTAACATTTTCTTGAAAATCTAAATATTTATTTGTTTTATTTAAAGTTTACCGTAGCCTTTATACACATGTTTTACTATGAGATACAGAAAAGACACCTCAATCTTAAGTTTTTGCAAATGCATCACTATAATTGTACTAGTTTTTTCATTAGAAAAATAATTAAATATTTTCGTTATATTCAGTTTATTGGAATATAAATTTTCACCAACTTAGAAGCAAACAAACAAATTTAAATTCTAAATAAATTTATAAAAATACATTAAGAGATCATTCTAAGATTCCTCCCCACATTTACTTGACTCTATGGCTATAAAAATTATGTAAAACTTTTAAAAAAAGTTGAAATTTTACCAAAAAGTCTAAAGTCCATCCTTGTTAAATTATATGGTTATAAAACTGCAAAAAATTGTATAGTGCTGTTTAACAGCAATGCACGTTATAACTTAGATAAGAAACTATCAAATCATGCAAAAATAAAATATAAATAATAAATATTGATATCATTAATTATAGAACGCCCTCTAATCGGTGATTTTAAATAAAAAAAAAGCAGTTTCGAGAAAACTGAAACAAAAAATTAAAGTGTATGAAAGCTTGATAAAAACAATATTTTAGATATGAATTTAATATTCTGAAATATGTCCTTTTTTTAAAATTTTTACGCAGCATGCAAAGTTAAAATAATTTGATTAAAAAACATTTCAGTTTAGTAAATGACCTTATTGGTTATTTGACGAAATCCTCTTTCTTTTCTTACAATTACCCTTTGAATACATATTATGAAACATTTTACTACGACGCTATATCCGAAAGCGAAGTGGAATGTAAACAAACTATCGCATTGCTTTCATATTCGGGAGCAACACTTGAGAGGGCATCCTCTCAGTATCATTGCTCTTACGCCTCTCTGACATTCCTCCCCATTATAAAAATAGACTCATTCTAATGGGTCGTTGCCATAGAAACCTGTCATCCTCCATGCCTCCTCTTCTCCAACGATGTCTAGGCACAAAATGGGAAACCCCATAGAACACGGTTCATCGAACGAAATATTTCTCGAAATTCCCTTCCTTGCATTTTTATGTTCTTTATCATACAAATATGTAGCTAAAGCTAATCTTTTTTTCTTTTTTTTTTGCTTCCTAAAAATAGTAGTGGATAAAAATATTTTGTTGTTAGATGTTTTTTTCCTTCCCAATGGTTGGATTGAGAAGTGGATTCGTTTTTATCAAAAATTTGTTTTGGGCAAACTGCGCATGTGTGCTAAAATAAAATATCACTCATGTTTTATACATTATGTAAACTGAATGTTGCATGGTGGCTGAACTTAATCTATATTTTTTTTTTTAATCCTTGTCAGAAAATAAAAATAAACATTAGGGGATCGCAAGTATTTGTGCGAAGAAAAAAAAACAGGTAAACGAAATGCAAAGAATCTAACTGAGAAAAAACAAATAGAAACGGAAATACCAAAACCTATTTAATTGCCGGAGTTAAGAAGCCCTCCCTCTTCCGACCGAACTCAACAGTCGAAGGGATTGAGATAGGAAGGGAAAACTCAAAATATATTTTTAGTCCTTTTTATTTAATTTTCACAAATAAACTGATGATGGATATTTACTCCGCAGTATCTTTTGTTTGATTGATTTGAATCACAATTTGATCGATTAATTTGAGATTGCGTGCGGCATTTTAGATTCTCTATTTTTTTCGACGAAATTAAGCCAATACAATTCTGAAATCAACAGCTTTTGAAAGATAGTTTAATAGTATGCTGTTGCCTCGTTTTAGATTTTTGATAAGTATCCTTGTTTTTATGCCGTTAACGTTAAAAGAAATTTTCATCAGTTTAAATTCCAATAAAATTAGAATTTTAAAAAAAAATTCTAAAAACATGCAGATTTCAATTTCTTATTCAAAACACCAATTTGCATCATTTTATTGCTTTAAAGTTTTTAGGAAAAAATTTTTTGAAGTTTTAAAAATTTGCAAGCGCTATTTCTCTTAATCTATTTAAGCAATACCTTTATTTTTCACATTTTTAAAGTATGTAGTGCTTTCTAATAAAAATATATCATAAAAAGATTGTTAAGTACGAAGAAATATCAAGAAAATACAAATTAAAAATTTAATTCAAGAAGACTAGGGCAGATACCTCTTTAGAGTTAAGACTTATTTTCATTCCACCTTCCTCATTCTTCTTCGGTTGAATGTTCACTAGTAACCACTAATGTGTGTGTGTGTGTTTTTAATTTAGTTTTATTACGAACATATATTTCGAATGATTATTACAGAACTTCCTGTATATAATGTGAAAAAGTTGCTTGAAAACGCTCACACATACTATCACCATTTGCGAAACTGAACCTTTTCGAGATCTAAGTATTGTTTTAAAATGGAACTTTCAGCGTGGTTCTTTAAGCAATAGAAGAATACTGATCAAAAGACAAAATTCAACAAATATCAAACTTATTAAAAAAAATCACCCCTGAAAAGGTTTATGAGCCCCCCATCATCAAAATATTTAGTTAAACATTGAATTCATTAAAAAAAAACAATTAAGGAAGAGAAAACGGTATGGACTAAGTTTTTTATCCATATTTTTTTTAAAAAATAAAATACATAAAAAATTATGCTTTTATTTTTTTCTTAAGATTGGGAAAAGTTTTGTTTGAATCACTATTATCGACTGTTATCACTATTTAAGATATAGTGATGAGGGGTAAATCATGTATCACATTTATTGTGAAACACTATAAAGCATAAACAAAATAAAAATATTTTTAACCAGCTAGTCCTTAAAAAAAAAAAAAAATCAACTTACCGAAGACGGAGCTAATCTGTACCCAGACATAGATGCTTCGTTTCTTACCATGCAGATTGCCGTTTGAGGCTGCAATGAAAAATTATAATAAATATTTTGGTATATTTTAAAAAAATGAATGCAAACTAATTGGCAAGGAATTCTGTACAGAATATTTTTATATACATGGTGTTCCGTGATCCTTGAATCCTTATCAAAAATTAAGTATAAATGTGCACATACGTGATAAAATAAATTAGAGAGGACAAAAAAAAATATCCTCAAAATCTAACAAGTTATTAACTCTTGTTAATAACTCGTTATAACAAATTAAGGCCAGATTAAAAACTTTAAAATCTGTTTTATTACAGTTAGAAACTGAGAGGAAATGACTAGAAATATGTTAATATTTTATGAGACAAAACTGGTTGTGGTGTATTTAATAACTCAGTCTTCCTCAATAATAATATGACTAGATTTTGGTAAAGTACAACTAACAAGCCTGCATTAACATAATTTTAGACAAGGATTATAAGAATATGAATCAAGAGCTGTGGTTACAGAACACCCTGCATTTCTCAACATATTTTGACACATAAATTAGAAATGAGCAGTAAAATTACATACCACGAGGACGTTTCACATAACTTTTCGGTACGTTATTTAAATAAGACATATTTAAACTTAAATCTTCATTTTAAAAAGGCTCATATTTTTTTTAATATTGCAGGATTTCATAATTAATTTCATATTCACCTGCAACAATGATTATTTAATGAATTTCAATTGTGGTAATAAATTTAGAGATTGAAATTAGATATTCGAATTCAACTTGAATGTCAATAAATTCATCCATCTAAACGGGAAAACATAGAATTTTGAAAATTCATTAAAGTTTGAATTCGTTTAATCAAAAATAAACAAACTAAAAAATTTAATACAGGAAACGACGGAGAAAGCACAGATAAAAATTGGAGTGTCAAAATGCTCCAATCTGATTTTCATAAGAAGTGAATCAGAAAGTATTAAAAAGAAATTAAAAAGTTGAATAAAATTTTAATCAAACCAAAACATTATAAAATGACAAATCAAATTGAACAGCGTGCTGCAACTTTATAATAACAAACAAAATATTTCTAAAAATGAACATCATGAACTAACAAAACAAACTGAATAGCGTGCAACTCACGAAAAATCCCGACAGTAATCTCATCTAATGATCAAAGTGAACAAAATATTTTTTAACCGTAAACTTGTGACATCTTTACAAGTTGAGATGTTTGTAGGTCTGAACAAAAATGGTGCAGCAGTGGCCCAGGTGCATCGTCTTTTCGCCTAACGCTCAAAAGAGTGTAGGTAGAGGGTTCGATTCTTGTCGTTAGTATGTAATTTTGTGCTATCTGTTCTTCCATTTGAGAAGGGATTGCATGTTAATAAAAATATAGACCAAACAGTAACGGGAAATACTAGGCAAGAGGGTCTTGCGTTCGTCAGTGATGCTAAATTTCCTGCGTCGGTACATACGGATTCGTGGGTTCGATTCCCTAGCTTGTATAAAATCGTTAACTTCAACAGAGTTGTTCATCCGCGAAATTCAGAAGCTGGGCAGCTGTTTCTGAGACGTTGATCATGATACAATGCTAGATAGGTACCATCATCAATGTCGCTCTTGTCATTCTATTTCTCTCTCAACTGTGGTACTTATTTCTTAGATCCTGAGTAAGCACAGAAACGTTTATCTCTCGTCTGAAATTGTGTTTTTGCTATAGTTTTGTACATATTGTATTCGGGTTGCTCGGCAACTGACTTCGTTTTTTTCTTAGCAAAGAACTAAATTGTATTTGATGTACAACCTTAATATATAAGCCACGTTTAATTAGTATATGTTGAAAGCCAATATAGAAATGTTTGCTTGTGAAAAACTTAGTTTTGATTTTGCGCAATAGTTTTCGCTGAGTTCCCTATCAAGTGTAAAAAGCTGAAAACAACATAATCGACATATTTTACTTTTTCATCATCGAAAAGTGAAACTGCTAGCAAAAGATTGTTTATGGAAAAGTTGTTGACAAAAACTGTGGCCAAATTTAATCAAAAGAAAAAGGATATAGTGCTTCACCAAACAATTTTCCTAAATAGCCAAAAGCTTTAACAGCTTAATAGCCCTACTACCACATCCATGAAAATTGGCAAAACTGACAATAAATAAAACAATTCTAATAAGTTATAATATTTAACAAATTTAGCAGTTCCATCAACCGAAATAAAGCGATGCAACAGAGCAATAAAAGCAAATAATAATTTTTGCTTATATCATTTTACAATATGTATATCAGCATTGTTTTCTTAAAAAAAGTAATATTTTATTTTATTTATTTAATTTATTATTAGAAACCAAAAAATAATGTTTCCACACTAAGGAAAGTCTCTTTAACAACTTGTGTTTCGACACACAGGAAGGTTTTTTGTTTAAAGAACCGAAACTATAGCCAAGTCCATTTTTGGGACATTATTGTATTTGATTAGAATTGCTTAGCTTTATTCATGTGATGCACAAAGTTTAGCCTATTTTGAATAGGATTTAAATATATTTTTTGCCAAATATTTTCTTCCAGTTTCGCACAAGAATGCAAACATAACGGGAAGGAAAGTAACGAAAAAGATTAAGAGTTTCTTAGTCATCTAAATATTATAAACTGTTATTTATATGGGATGTGTACACCCATTTTTAATTATGTTATATTACAATCTGAGTAATGATGTTCTACTTTATGAACCATTTTTAAAGTTTTGCTTTTTTTTTCAATTTATTTTAGAATAAGTAATAAATAATTAGTGATTTTAGAGCTCCCAGTAGTCCACCAAAGATCTTTAAGTGGAAATTCACCTATCATCAAAACATGTGGAAATTTACCTGAACTAGCAATCACTAAATATTGTTAGGCTATCACGAGAACTCTAAAAAACCGGAATCTCGTGCTGGTGCTTAATATAGTCACGAAGATAAGTTACTTCGATAGTTTCAGACCACTTCGAATAGGAGCTGGATTTAACCGCTTAGTAACAATTTAGACTACGATAGTCAAGTCAATATCTTAATTCTCCCCTATTAGAAATGGTTATACTATTGTTTCCAACGCAGCCGACCACCTCAGACTATCAGTTGGGAGTTCTCAGGATGGTAAGATAGTAGTTTTCACTGAGTAGTTGTCAGATTTCAAAATATGTATTTCGGTTATCAAATTATCGTTATATCATAATGTCTTTCATTCAAAAGACACATTTTATGATCTAAGATTTGCTATTTTGACTGAGTCCTTGATTTTTTGTAAGTATTGAGTATAAGAAATGTTCGTGGCCCCAAGGTAATAGGCAAACATTGTTTTGATGATGACTACTTTAAATTTATATTTTCAGAATATTTTTAACAAATGAAATTTAAAAAAAACTATGCGCATTGGAGGTCATAGACTTGTATTTATGCTAGAAAAAAAAGAATTTTTTATACTTTAATTACTATTGAGGCCGATAAGTGCAAAGGATGGATAAAAATCAACTCAAGCTAGTGAGGTGCTTTAAAGAGATTCCTAAGGAAATAGTGAATGTATTTAGGTATCACTAAAATCAGTTTTTTGCGCACCCCGCTCTCAATAATGATTGGTCATCTTTTTTTAAAAACTTAAAATACCAACTTGTGAGCCTCCTAGCAACTGTGCATAGTTCTTTTGAAAGAATTGTTCACAAGTATTTTAAAATATATATGGTAGGCTGGGATAGTCTGATTGGTAGGGCACTGAGCCCATGTCCAAGAGGTCGTGGGTTCGATCCCGATCGATCGAAGACTCCCTGTTAAGTAAATGATTGTGACTGGTGCACATTAAATCTGTCGAGTCACAAAGTCCTCCACGTTCCCACAACAAATTATACCTCTGCTGGTACAGATTCAGGAGTTTCCTTGTCTTCTGGATTGGGTTCAAAATTACAAGGCTACGGAGCTGAACATTAGCAGTCGTAAACCCAAAATTGGGTCAGTTGTTCAACGATGGTTATAAAATAAAATATATATGCTGGAGCCTTTGGAGAGAGAGAGAGTAATAAAAACGTTACTGAGTTACATTTCTGCCGGTTAATATTCATATAATATTGGTTAATTAAAAAAAAGTTAATGTTTAGAAATGCTATAGAAATAGTAAGCATGCATCAGAGTGGGACAGAGACTCACGATTTTCATTTATAGCTGACAAAGGGCGGGGATTATGTGCAATGCTTATGCAAGACACTAAATTCACTTATTTTTTAACATCCCCATAAAATGCAAAAATAATTTAACTTAAAGGGAAAAAAATTAGGGAAATTGAACCTGAATTAGAAATTTAACCTGTTAAGAGATTATTTTCAACCAACCACATTTTTAAATAATATTCACTTTTTAAAGAAATAAAAATAAATCATTCTAATGTTTTTATATTTTCAATTAAAGAATTTAATACTGCGCTTTGACTCTTCGGGTTTTATAGACAAATTTATGGTCAGCTGTATGCTTAAGAGCCTGCATGCTTATTCTGTTAAGTCTAGAAATAAGACGGGTTTCAAATAAAAAATATTATTTTGTAAACATCTTGTTGATGTTTAGATAGATTCTAAAACTGATTTGTAAAAAACAACCGATATGACACTAAACATTATCCACCCAATAAGCTCTTCATTTACCTTCAACAGCTCCTCAATCATTTTTTTTTCTTTCAATAATGTCAATAAAGTAACGTAAAATAACTCTAATGTGGTACTTTTTTACTATTAGCTCATTTTCAATGATCTTTATTTTCAACCCACTGTTTCGATTTGTAAAAAATAATATTTAATTAATATGCCTTGTTTTTTTTTAAAAATCTAATTAATTTTCTTATTTTATTTTATAAATTGCAAGAAAAAAATTGGAGCTGTCTGAGTCACAAATATAGTAAAAGATTTACAACTTTACTAGTAATTTTCCATCCAATAAACTCTTCACATAAACACAAGTTCATTCATGGACTTCAGGTTATGATCTTAAGAATGGTCCCCTCTCCCCAACATCCTCCCTCCTCTCTTAA